GGGGATGCCTGAGCATGACAGTGTTGGAGTTAGGTCGGCAGTGGGGGCTCAAAAGACCCCCTTCAGACCATGTTCTCTGACAGCATTGGCTGATCATGTACCTAGTCCGCTTCATAAAATCCTATTGATTTCCTTGTGAGCAGTGAACCTTGTTTGTATGTTTCACCACCACAAGCTTGCAGCGGAGGAGAGGTGGGAGTAGGACTTGGGCACCCTGATCCTTGAACACCTACATAAATGTTGCTAAATACTTGCCTGTCAGGTCACTAACATTACGATTAGGTAGCTTTTTGGTTTAGCAAAGTCTAGAGGACCTTTTTGAATACCCAAGGTAGACTGTGGGTCTTGTCTGAATTGGTGTTGGAGATTTAAAGTAGTCTCTGCAATAAAGTCACATGCAGGGGCGGCTGCCTATGGCAGCTGAGAAGGAAGGAGCAATGGAGAAGGAAGGTCGAGAGGAGGGGTGGAATAACAGGGTGCCAGGTGCAGCCTAAGGGGAAGAGCTACCTGAGAATCACCTTTGGCGGAGCAGGTTAAAAAGTTTCAACATGTCTCATCTTCAATGTTTTCTGGTCTTCTCTGTGCAGTCATCTCCCTGCATAACTCTCAGCCCTTGAATAGGCAATTACATAGGTTAGCCTTGGTGATGTCTGGGAGCAAGGGAGGCCTCAGGATGGGGTCAGTGTGGGGCAGAGAGGGGCAGAGAGAGGACAGCGGCCACGAGAACAGAGAGTAATGCCTAGAGAGGGATAGGGCAGAGAGCCAGGTGCAGCACTGAGCGAAAGAGGGTGCCCTGCATGAAAACACCCACCTGCCCGGCCCCAAGACCTCCCTATGAATGAGGGAGGGCCAGGTTTGGGGGGCAGGAGCAGAACAATGGGGGGCAACCAGATCCCTCATTTTGTGTATAGCACAATCCTGAGTTACATGTTATCCAGCAAAGAAAAGATATGATGTGTTGTTTAGTGTTCTTATTAATCCTTTGTCTTCAATTTCATCCAGAATATTCATTTAGTCTTTAAGGTATTACCTTCCATTACCAGTTAGTTTTTCACTTGTTTATATCCTTTTCTGACACTAAACTGAATATGCTCGAGGGCAAGGAGTAGATTTTAAGCTTCTCTGGTTGTGCCAGTGCATCTAGCACACAGTGTGTCTTAACAGATATTGCTTGATTAACAGGGTATAGAAAGCCATTAAGCTCCACAGATGAAAACAGACGTATATTTGTTTTGTTTTTAAATGATGGTATTTACAAATGTAGGGTTAACCAAGCCCAGGATGTAGGGCAAGACTGCCTGGATGTGAAGGTTTTTCAACCTGTATGTGGCTGGCCACATATAACCTGTGTGACCTTGGGCAGATTACTCAACTTCTCTGTGCCTCAGTTTTCTGATCTGTAAAGCAAGCATTGCAATTGCATCTCCTGCCTAGGGTTGTTCTGTGGATTAGTAAACATAAGCAATGCATTTAAAACAGTTCCTGAAAGTTGCCACTTGCTGTATTGTTTGAATAACCTCATCCTGTCTCACATGCTTGATTCCATGGCACTACCTAGCAATTCCCTAATTGTTAGGCATGCAAAATTGTCTTCCTTCCCAATCACTGGCTCCTTAAGGGAAGCAACTGGCCTTCAGTCTTCTTATCCCACTCCCCATGAAGAATCATCTGGAAATGCCTTAGGGATTGAACTGAAGGAACTCCAGCCTGTGGCCTGTTACTTTAGGGCAGAGATACATGACTAGTTGCTCAGGTCACTTCAGCCACCAATCTGAGCTACAGCCAGTGGCCCTGAATGCTTTGAGTCTACCAGCCATGTAAGCTCCTGTCCTCTTCTCCCGAGGAATTAGGGTATTTGCTCTAGCCCTTGAAGCTTCCTAAATGTCTATACTGGTGGTCTCCAGTGTGGGGGTGTGTGCAACACAGGGGATGTGAAGGATGACCCTCCAACATGCAGGGAAGCAACTTTAGAATGTTTCCTTATAGCTATTATGTATCTATTTTTAATCTCTTCTTTGTGTAATTTTCATTTTTATGTATATATTATGCTAGATATCAATTTAATAGTATTGTGTGTCTATAATATATGAGAAAGAGATACACATACATGTATTAAAGGCGTTTTCTTAAATAGACGTAGTTTGCAGGGTTGTGGAACATGTGGGGACATAAAATGAGTTAGGTGTAGACACAAGGGGCAGCCTGGGCAGATGCAGTGGGGCGAGACCTCGTGGCTGGAGAGAGGTCGCTTATCCTCTTCCACCTGTCTTCCCAAGAGACCATCCATGTACTTCTGGAAACTTCTGAAGTATTATGTAAATCAGCATATTTCCTCAAAACTGCCTCAAGTTCAAAGGTGCATCTAAATGTCACAACCCTAGCAGATCTAGGCCATGACTGTTGCTGGCAAAAGCCCCAGGTTTTCCCTTTGAAGCACTTAGAGAACGCTGATGCCTTTCCTCACAGGAGGTAGAAAAGAAAAACACTTGTTAATTCAGGATGGTTGTCACTGATGGCTTAGAGCACAGGTTGGCAAACTTTTCCTGTAAAGGGCCAGATAGTAAATATTCTTGGTTTTGCCAGCCACATGGTCTCTGTCACAGTGACTCATCTGTGCCACTGCAGTGCCAAAGCAGCGACAGCAGATACAGACACGAATGGCGGGGCTGCATTCCAGAAACATCATTTATGGGCATTGGAACTCAAATTTCATACGATTTTCGCATGCTGCAAAATATTATCCACCTTTTGATTTTTCCCCTCAACCATTTAAAAATGGAATAATCATTCTTAGCTCACATGTGCTGCTAAAATAGGTGTCAAGTTGGATTTGGCCCATGGGCCATGGTTTGCTGACCCTTGGCTTAGAAGAAAACACTACGTTTTTGTTTTATTTTCATTTTTTTAAAGATGAATTAAATTTTTTTTCTTATTGTAGATAATTTTTCATTAAACACCCAGAAGTTTATTAACAAGAAATAATTCTAAGAGCATATGAATATGGAATAGAGAGTTGACATAATCTCTTTTGTTGTCAGTTTTTATTCAAATGAAATACTGAATGTCACTGAGGTTGCTGTCTTCTTCTTTTACAAGAGATGCATGGAAATAAAATTACCTTAGTTTACAATATGCAAAAACTAAATATTAAAGTAGTTCAACTCCAGACAGGAGTGGAACTAGAAGAGTGAAGAAGAGGGAAATTCTGATAAGAATTAATGGGTATTATTTTTCATCTACAGTGAGATATGTGTTATTGACATTGGATGGCATTTACAATATCAAAAATAAAATAAAGGGTATTCTGTGCTTTTCTTCCTATGACGCAGTGAAATATTGAGTATTATTTTTCATCTACAGTGAGATATGTGTTATTGACATTGGATGGCATTTACGATATCAAAAATAAAATAAAGGGTATTCTGTGCTTTTCTTCCTATGACGCAGTGAAATATTGAAATGTACGTATCAATAATCAACTGTAAAATCAGCTTAGATTTCCTTGATTGCAAAACATGTAATTTACTATCATAATGTGGGCTAACAAAATTGCTATGCTCTACTTAGTGGTCACTAGAAGTCCCAGTGTCTGAGGATGCAGGGATCTGTGTGCCAAGCTCTGGAGCTAAGCACTGGCTCTCGCAAGCCTCAGCCCAACTATGATGCTGTGTAGCATTAGGAAAGGAGAGAGCTACGCTGCACTGTCTGCAAACCAGCAACGCAATCTTTTCCATTTACTAAGCAACGTGAGGCTTTATCATACATGCAATTCTCAACAAGTTTTTAATTATATCCATTTTATGGGTAAGTGTTCTCTAGCAATTTAATCATGACATTTGACCAATTATTTGGAAAATGGCTACATATTCTCATAAACACTTGTCTTCCTTCATGTGTCCTGTGGTTGTGTTCAATTCGAAATACATCTTTAATCCAGGGGCGGGGGGCTGTACAGTTAATTGAACCAACATTGACCTTTAAACAATAATTGCGTAAGATTCAACCTATTAGTGTGTATGAAATAAATTCTTAGTTTGCCTTTCAAAATATGCTCCATTTTTGGTAAATATGTTTGTTTTTTCCAAGGTTGCCAAATAGATAGACTATATTATTAAAAAATACCGTCATCAGCCATATGGGTTTTATGTCCTGTGTAAAGACTGTGCTTTCTTGAAGTACTTATATTTATAAATTAGTTAATAATGATGTATAAAACATTAGTATTGCTCCCTTCAATTTTTCTGTTTGGCAAAGTCATCATCAGCCATATGGGTTTTATGTCCTGTGTAAAGACTGTGCTTTCTTGAAGTACTTATATTTATTAAATAAGTTAATAATGATGTATAAAACATTAGTATTGCTCCCTTCAATTTTTCTGTTTGGCAAAGT